TGCACAATTTTCAGAGGCTACAGGATAAAACCCCAAAAAGGGTTAAATGTGTGTTAGTTACCAGTAAGTGTCCATGTTGTATCAGGGTTGGAAATTAAATTAAATGTCACTATGAGGAGTTAGTAGCTTTTCTGTTGCTGAATAATCTCTATGTACTAAGAGGCACATGTACATCCCATCTATCATTTTAATCTTCCTAATAAACATCCTAAAATCAGATGATAGTAGGAGAAAAGGTGATCTGAGAGAGCTCAGTTCTCTTGCTCAAGTTCACAAAATATTTTCAAACTGACCTCAAAGAGTCCTCATGGTGTTCCCTCAAGTCTGGGGCCTGAACTATTTTTAAATCAACTTCCCCACCGACTAACTGTGCCTAAAGTAATATGTACTTCTTCCCTTGTAATGAATGAAACACTAAAATGTCAGACAACTGTGTATTTTGCTTCCAGTTTTCTCTCACTATCACCATAGACATTCAACTTATGTTACATTACATTTGACCCAACTTGTCTGTAATGTCACTGAAAATGCAACATGAATAAATTGTGCTATTATCAGAAATAATATCTGTACCATCAAAATTGAATACTGTATTTAATTTGAAAAAGTAGCACACCAATATTTAAACAACACATTCTTTGACATATGCTTTTTGTGTTTTTAAAACATATTCACCTTTATATTAAAATGAAAATATATCAAATTGTAGAGATCCAAGAGGTTGGGGATGTGATCCAGGTCCAGCACTTGTCTGGCGTGTATATAAACTACTTCAATTCCAGGCACAAAAATATAAATAGAGAGAGAGAAAGAGAAAGTTTCTAACCTTAAAATTAAATGCAAAATGTATATGAATATACATAAAAAGATTATCGTCTAGTTGAGCTTACATCATTAAACTACGTACATAGAATACATCCTGGTTTAACAGCACTTCTTTTTTTTTCACTTTTTGGTCACACTTCGAGATGCTCAGGGGTTCCTTCTGACTCTGCACTCAAGAATTACTCCTGGAGGTGCTTACGGGACCATCTGGCATACCCAGGATAGAATCCTGGTTGGCTTCATACACGACAAATGCCCTGTCCACTGTCCTATCATTCCAGACCCTTGCAGCACTTCTAATCTCTGGGGGTTCCCTGCAGAGAGGAAAGGGGCTCAGTCATGTTTAAACGGATAGCCTTGTTAATATATCTTCACAATGAACTCTGTGATTAGTGCACCAGAAGTACCAATGTTTTTAGCTCAACAATCTGAGGCACTCAAAATCCATGTATGTCTAATTCGTTAGCAATCAAGAAAGCAGGGAACTAAGGATCATACATGCTGAACAATCTAAGCAAATATCTAAGAAACGTTCCTAATATTAATAGTGAGTTCAAAGACACATTAAACAATACTATCTCAAGATGGACATTTGGAAAATTCATCTAGTACAAGTCACAAAGGGGATTGCTATGAACATCATCAGCACTGGGACTATTTGGGGCACAGGAATGACTGTGATTGGGATGAGGAATCAGCAGAAGCTACTAAAGCGATTGGCAATATTCGACTATTGACTTCAGTTTAAGTTACACAAATAATCACCATCATTTTTTGAGTTTTATGTTTTTATGTGTTCTTGTTTGATAACAAAAGTATTTTTTTATATTTTCACAGCGGGTAGGGCGTTTGCCTTGCACACAGCCAACATGGCCGACCCGAGTTCGATTCCTCCGCCCCTCTTGGAGAGCCCGGCAAGCTACCGAGAGTATTCGATATGCCAGACACAGTAACAACAAAGTCTCCAATGAAGACGTTACTGGGCCCGCTCGAGCAAATCGATGATCAACGGGAGGGCCTTTACCTTTACCTTTACCTTTTTTATATTTAGAAGTATTGCTATTTAGTCAGCCACTGATTAGCTGATTGAATTGGGCATGTACTCCACCTTACTTTTTTTTCATTTTTTATAATTTTTTTTATTGAATCACCGTGAGAGCAGTTACAAAGCTCTCGGGTTTAAGTCTCAGTCATACAATGAAACACCCGTACCTTCACCAGTACTCATTCTCTACCCTCAAAAACCCCAGTATACCCTCATCCCTCCCCCTCCCCCTACCTGTGGGACAAATGGTCTCCACATTACACTCTCTCTAGTTTGATTACATTCAACATTTTAACACCACACCCACCATTATTATTTGGGATTTTACCCCAACATTCAGATCTGCTGAAAATGCAACAGCAGACAATTTGTTTTCTATTGCTGGTCATGAATAACATATGATGTTGCACAGCTGCAGTAGTGGCGGCGCGATTTTGAAATTCCAAAATTTTAACAATTAAATCTGGAGGGATTTCTACCAAAACCTGCTGGGTTCCGAGATTTGTTCCTGAATCTCTTAGATCATGGCCGTTAAGCAGCTTCATCAGGAGCCAGAAAGGCAGTTCATGTGCGGCGACTGGAGGTCTTGTTGGGATTGGGGGGGGGGGGAGGGGGGGAAGAGCTGGCTCCACCCCAATCTCATGAGGCCCCACGTGTTTCGTCACTGTGGGCCCAAATCTGACTGTCCAGTGGCCTCTGGAGGGGGAACAGGCGAAGGCATGAAACCTATTACCACCTGGGTTGGCCCAGCGCCTGTAACCTACTGCAGGGACCAGACGCATTTCTGCCAAAAGCTGTTGGGTTTCAAGATTTGTTTCTGAGTCTCTGGGATCATAGCCATTAAGCAGTTTGATCAGGAACCAAAGAGGTCATGCCTCCAATTATATAGCTGAGCCGGAGGTGGTTTGTGGGTGTGTCTCCCACATACCTAACTTTTGGCCATTCACTTTTTTGGTAAACTTTGCCCCAAGTTTTTGGGGTCTGGCCAAAGGCACAACAGCAATTTGGGGGTATCTGGAAGTCTGAAGGTGCCATCAAGTTGCTGATGCAGTCACCTCACAGGTACAGATTGACCTGCTAGGGGCACCATACCCCCACAAAAGTCTTTTTAAATTCAGGTAGCATGGGAGTGACTATTTTGTGTTTTTTTCCAAACTAAGAAAAAGTCAGTATCTGGGTACCACAAAAAAAGTATCTTTAAACTTAACATACAAAGTCAGTAGGGGCATTGATTAAGGAAAAGAGATTTCTTTTTATGTAACGAGGCTCCAGTTACTGAAGAAATTATTCTTCTATTGTAAGTATGTTTTGCATTTTTAAGTTATGTAGAAAACTTTAGGCAATCCAATTTGGGTCTAAAACTTCATTATAGCATCAAAGTGAAAACAGAAGAAATAATGGTCTAGAGAATAATAATTATTTATGGGTAAGTGCTTTAAATTTTTAGTCTTTAAAAAATAAATTTAAACCTTCCACAATGCCAAATGTTCTCAGAAATATTAACGCTCTCACCTTTCCTTTGGGAAAAAAAATATTATCTTCTCCTAATAGACAAAGAAATTAGTCTGAAAATATGCTCCCTAAATTCCCAAGGACTTATTGTTTCCCATGGTGAAACTGGGATTTAACCCAAAGCAACCCAAAATGAGTCTAGAATCTTAAGTTGAATCACTCAGTTTAATTTAACTCTCATCTCACTTCACAACAATAGTACACACAATTAAATTGAATAAATTTTTGAATTTAAAAAAAGGATTAACTTTCTGTCTCATTTTTGATTGGACTTCTGCTCATTTTTGATTGGATTTAATTGGACTTAACTATAGCCAGATAATCTCCTGTCAGAACTGGTAAATTCCATGGGAAATAAACAATAATGATAATGTAATGAAGTATGTTGTTTGAATTGCCTGTTTTATTAATTTTGCTTAATCTTCAATGATTAGGAGATATAGATATGGTTGCTTTGTGAACCAAATGGTTTTAGAATTAGTTCAGTTTTTAACTGTAAAAAAATCAATAAGGATTTGGATACGATGTAATATCCGGAACCAGAATTTATCACTTGAACATATGGGGTGATTCATAACACTAAAGGGATTAAGGCTTGTGCCTTGCATACACCCAACCACGATGACACATGACCTCTGACCATCAAACATCACCAGATCTCGATAGCCCTGGGATATTCCCAGGTCCTGGCACTCAAATGTTAGCCCACTTAAAGAGGATATTGAGTATGGTACCTGGGCAACACCTGAGAGGTCCTATCTCACAAAGACAAAGGAAAAAAGAGATACACCCTCTGTACAAGCACATAAAGGTAAATGTTAAGAAAGATTGTTTCTCCATAGCATCAAAAATATATACAACAATAGCATTATAGTAGGTAACACATAAGTTGATGCAGCAATACCAGAGAACAGTGAATAGAAGGAATACTATGAAGTCTGGTACTCATGGTGCTTACTATGACGAATGTGATTATAATTATGATTAAGCATTGACATGTAGAAATTTGGCACAGAATATACATGGTGATTTGGCTTCTTGTGTTTTTTAATGGTATTTATCCCCTTCACCTTTTAGTTTTATCTTTTCCTTTGATAGTGGAAAGGTTTTTAATGATTAACTTATGTCTGACATAGTTTTGTTGTTGTTATTGTTTTTATTGTAAGAGTACAGCTATTTATTCAGACATTGATTAAGCTGATGAGTTGTCGATTGTGAGAGTTGTCCCTGACATAACCAAATATTCATAATTCAAAGCATGTATTTATACCAACCTATGCACTCCTTTCTTAAAACTGAAAAGTTAGTTTGTGGATTAATAGTTAACCAAAATATATTGAAATTTAGTTGAAATAACATATTAGCCCTTTTCAATAGCTAAAAATTAAGTATGAATGGATTCAACATTTTTCTTTTCCACCTTCCTGGCTGTGATGAGATGTGGAGGGGGGCCTTGGGGCTTTGAACACGAGGAATACATTTTTTATTTCATTTTTAAATAATCAAGCTGAGTGGGGATTGCAGGTGGTGCGTATGATCAAGTTTTGGGGGTCTGTGCTTTGACCTGTGACTGATGGTAAATTTAACTTCACCTAGTCTCTCATAAGAAGCAGTGGAAATGAACAATGGGAGTTCCACCCCAGACTTCATCCTTCTGGGGTTCTCTGAATGGCCCCAACTGGAACGCATCATCTCGGTGGTTGTCCCCATCTTCTATGTTGTGATTCTGGTGGGAAACACAATGATCATCCTGGTATCTCACCTGGACCCCAAGCTCCATATGCCCATGTACTTCTTCCTCTCCAATCTATCCTTCTTGGATCTCTGTTTTACCAACACTGTTATCCCCCAGATGCTGGTAAATATGTGGGGTCCAGAGAAATCCATTTCTCATCTTAGTTGCATGCTCCAAGCTGCCATCGCCCTAGACTTGGGTGCCACAGAGTGTCTGCTCTTGGCTATGATGGCCTATGACCGCTATGCTGCTGTGTGTCAGCCTCTGCACTACGTAGTGATAATGCACCCTAAACTCTGCCACAGGATGGTGCTGGTTGCCTGGTTAACTACTGCTTGCTGTGACGTACTTATTTGCACTTTGACTTTGAGAATGCCAAGATGTGGGCACCAAGTGGTAGATAATTTTTTCTGTGAGATCCTAGATCTCATCAAGACTGCTTGTGTCTATTCAAAGGTGCTTGAGGTACTTTTCCTTTCTCTCACAGTGGTATTTCTTCTGGCACCTCTAACAGTGATTCTCACCTCCTATGGTGCAATCACTCGCGCTGTCATGAGGATCAAGGCAGCAACAAGATGGCGGAATCTCCTCAACACCTGTGACTCCCACCTCACCGTGGTGACCCTCTTTTATGGGACTCTCATCTCTATGTACATGAGGCCACAGAACAACTCCGCCCAATATGAAGGAAAGTTCATTGCTCTGGTGTATATGATACTTATACCAAGCCTTAACCCACTCATTTACTCCTTAAGAAACAAAGATGTAAAGAATGCAGTCAAAAAAATCCTGTGTGTCAAAATCTGGTCAGCGAAATTATGAGAAACATGAAAAATCAATGTAATAAGCTGTAGCACTATAGCACTGTCCTGTTGTTCATCGATTTGCTTGAGCAGGCACCAGTAACGTCTCCCAACAAATTGTGAGACTTGTTTTTACTGTTTTGGTATATCAACTACTCACAGGTAGCTTTCCAGGCTTTGCCGTGAGGTCGAGATACTCTCCTAGCTTGCCATGCTCTCTGAGAAGGGCTGAGGAGTCGAACCCAGGTCAGCCACATGCAAGGCAATCACCCTACCCACATTGCTATCGCTCCAGCCCATGTAATAAGCTACAGAAAAAAAAATGGTCTTGAACAACAGAAGGGGATATTGTTCAATTTTTTCAAAGCTTATTGTCTGGAATTTTGCCATGTACCAATAATTTTACTAAATATATGTTTTTGTAGAGAGACATGGTAAGAGGAGATTCAAATTCATAAATTAAATGCATCTTACTAGTGCAGAAAACTTCACGGTTATAAATAATTACATTGAGATGAAGTGTAAAGAATGAAGTGGTGATCCAGTCCTGGATATGAGTATTAAAGCTTGAGAATAGATTTTAGGAAACGCTTATTCTAATGTTGGATGGACAATGACTGACAATGACTTTATTCCCCATGGTTTGCCACTCCCTCCCATTCACCTGTTACTACTCCCTTCTTCCATCAGCTCCAATTTAACTGAGTAACACACATAGGTGAAGGCTAACATGTACTAACACAAGGCCAGGAAAGTGATATGTGCAATTTCCAAGACATCTGTTAAAACAGAAAAGCTTCTCCCCCTCATATCCTTGTTACAAGATAGCAAATAGGAATTGTACCTACTTTGAAAGAACTTTGTAAGGGAATAAAATGGTTCGAGGAAAATGGACCATATTTTCCCTGGACAGTAGCATCACCATATCCTAGCGAGTTATAAGAAAGGTAACGGGGTTAGGGCCAGAGAAACAGTACAGTCAGTAAGGTGACACCACCACTCTCCCAGAAGTGATCCACAGGAAGCAAGACCTGAAAACCACTGGGTGTGGCCAAAAAAAAAAAATAACAAAAATAGGAGAAGGTTGACTATCATCTCAGATTTCCTGCAGATATTGGGAACCTGACAAGCACCCAGGATGACGGACTGAACTTTGAGAACCAGTATTATAGAGAATAGAGACATACTGTTTCTAAAACAAAATTGTCTTGTTAGTCATTTATGAGAGATAGGTGAAAGTTGGTTGATCTCTAATTTCTCAATGGTTTTGTAAGCATTGTGTGACTTCCCAAAAGAATTTCCCAAATTTCATTCTTGATATGCCATAATAGGGTCTGTCCAAGAAAAACTTGGGTAGAATCTTGAGAAAGAAGGAAAAAAAGAGTTTCACTTGAAAGTTTCACTTTCGTTGGTAAAGGTTATTCTTATGTCAATATAATTTTCTGGCACTGATTTATAAGTGTTTTTTCTGCTGAATAATGGTGGCTATAAGTGACATTTTGTTGGAAAACATTGGATGCTTTTATTTCACAAAATAAAATTTTAATAATCTCAAGTTTGCTAGCAAATATTTTTATTTGTTTTAGTTATAAAATTATTTAAATTCTGGGATACTCTTATGATAGAGAATGAACCACTGGAGTTTCACCACCTAGGGCCCATTTTAGAAAATTAAAATCCTCCCTAGAAATAAAATGTTTCTCATATGTATATTGCCCATGCTACACCATGTCGCCATCTACATCAAATTCTAGAGTTGGGTGGGAGAGACCTGTAGGGTTGTGATTTACTCTCTCTGATCTCTTCATCTGTGATTTCAAATTTCCACATTCATGCGGTATATCTTACTTTGAAATTCTTACTTCTGTGCGTAGGTAATTTTACAGTAGTCATTAGTCAACCAGTGATAAAAATTAAAAATCTGCTAGAGAATGAAAAGACCAAATTAAAGAAAAAGCATAAACACAATATTTTGTGTGTGTGTGTGTGTGTGTGTGTCCTTAAAAGTAGATGTCAGAATGTATTTGAAGGTACAGACAGGGAAATAAAATGATGTTACAAATTTTCTCACAGCCCAGATATAATGAGCAACTTACCTTTAATCATTTGATTTCATGGATATCCATCTCTATTAAAGATTCTGTCACATTTAGAATCCTGATTTACTTCTCCCAATGTGTTTATTTATACCCAAACATCTCCTCTTACGAGTATATATTGACTCTCAGGGAAATGCAAATACCCTAGATGGTGATTAAACAATACAGTGTACTGTGGTCCTCCAAGCAGCTACCACACAAACATATTTACACTTGACTGTAATACTTAAAAATATCACTCAGAAGTGACACACTGCAGACACGCCTCTGTACTCTGCGCCAGCTGTCTCATGGGGACAACACAGAGGGGGACAGGTGAGTCTCCCCACCCGCCCCAACAGAGTTCCATCAGCCAAAAACCTTTAGAATTCATCGCTGTCAATCTCATGGTCGATCTCCACAGGCTTCGAGGAACCTCATCCATGAGTGAACCTGCTCAAATACCCAGATAGGCAATATCTGTGACTGAAATCTCCAGCCTCACACAGAGTCAAGAAGGGGTCACCTCCTCCCATCTCCCTGTGCTTCTGGTAGTCTGGCAGTCACACCCACAAACTGCCTCTAGAGCCATAGAAGTTCATTAAAAGCCATGATCCAGAGATTCACAAATAAATTTCTCAAAAGAGAGCAACATGAGAGTGACATGCCACATACATACCTCAGGACGCCAAAGTCACCATCCAGTTAAAAATAATAATAAATTCATTCAGCTGTATCACCATATTTAAAATTTAGAATTCCTGGAGCAATATCTACTCCACTGATGATGTACTGAGAGTAGCACACCACATTTGATAGGGTGTAAAGTTGAAAACAACCAATCTCAGGGTGGGGGAAAATATATATATACACACACACATGTATATTAGCACACCGGGCTCAACTTTTAACAACACTTTAGTAATCTCTTATACAAGGGATTTTTGACTCAAGGATGAAATACAACAACTATCCCATTCTTTCCTCTTAGGAAAATTTTTTGGATCATTTTCAGCAGAGTATTCATAACAAGCAATAGAAATTAAATTATTTATGCCCTGCTTTGAAGGCAGATTTGGAGGTTGGGGTGGAAACATTACAGTGGTAATGAGATATAATAAATTGATGAATAACGGGGAGTAAGTGATTAAGTGATTAAGTGATTAGGTATACAAGGAACTTTAAAAATGAAAACTAGCACCCAAGGGAATATTCCTTATAATTGCTTTTAGAATTAAGTCTCTGCTGTTATACATTCACTTGTTAATGAAGAAATTCCTTTGTGAGCACCAGTCTCTAAGGTCTTATTACTTTCTCACATGTACAACATTTAGTATTGCACTTAAATATTTCCATGTTACAAAGAATGATTCTTGCATTGTGTACAAATGACCATAGTAGTTTCCTCTCTGTTAGACTGAAATGTACCTGCAAATGTGTCTCTAAGAGCACATTAAGAGAGCACCCTTGCTTAGGAGTATAGCTCGGCAGGAGAGCACTCGCCACAGGTTTGAGGTTCTGGGTTTGATCCCTGGCATTGCTCAAAATAAAGAAGTAGCATATCAAAAGTACATTTACCTAAATTCATCAGATCTTTTGACAGTATCCCGTTTAGTTTATTCCTGTGTCATTAATAAAGACTTCTATTAAATGCTAGTGCCCATTTGCAGCCAGATGTGAATGTGACTGTGGTGTGAGTGGAAGGAACTAGTGACCACGCCAAGAGTTAGAGGGGACCATTGCTTATGAAGAGCTTATCTGAAAAGGCAAAGAAGCAAAAGATCAGCGCCACAGGACCATGGAGACACTGAACCACAGGAGAGCATGACAGGTGGGACATCTTCCCTCATCCAAACAAGATGATTTCCTTTAGTTTTGTTTCCTTGTAAGTTTTTTCTATGATATATATAATAAATACAAGTAAAACATCAAACAATGCATAAATTTCAGACAACAGAGCTTACAGAATAAAAAAAAATGTAAAATGTGTGTGAGTTAATAATAAATGCCCATGTTGTCTCAGGGTTGAAAGTTCAATTAAATTTCAGCAAGAGAAGTTACTAGAGTTTTCAATTGCCAAATAATCTCTATGAGTCAGAAGGCATACAGTATATTCCATCTATCATTTTAATATTCCTCAAAACCATCCTAAAATTAGGTGATAGTAGGAGCAAAGTTGATCTGAGAGAGTTCAGTTCTCTTGCTCAAGTTCTCATATACATATATATATATATATATTTGGTTTTGAGGTCACACCCAGGATGCACAAGGGTTACTCCTGGCTCATGCACTCAGAATTGCTCCTGGTAGTGCTCTGAGAACTATATGAGATGTTGGGGATTAAAGCCGGCTTTTCTTTTGGTGACATGATAGATTATGTTGATCGATTTCTGAATGTTAAACCATCTTTGCATCCCTGGGATGAATCCTACTTGATCATGGTGTATAATCTTTTTTATGAGTCATTGGATTCTATTTGCTAATAGTTTGTTGAGGATCTTTGTATCTGTGTTCATCAGGGATATCAGCCTGTAATTCTTTCTTTGTTGTATCTCTGTCTGCTTTTGGTTTCAGGGTGATATTTGCTTTGTAGAAACTGTTCAGAAGTGTTTTTGAAATTTCAATTTCGTGGAAAAGCTTAAAGAGGAGTGGGAGTAAGTCCTCTTTAACGATTTGAAAGATTTCTCTAGTGAATCGATCTGGGCCAGGACTTTTGTGCTTGGGGAGACTTTTTATTACCATTTCAATTTCTTTAATAGTTATAGGTCTGTTCAGGTATTCCAGGTCTTCTTGGTTCAGCCTTGGGAGTCTATAGGAATCTAGGAATTTATCCATTTTCTCGAGGTTTTCATGTTCCCTGGCATAAAGTTTCTCAAAGTACTCCCTGAGGATCCTTTGAATTTCTGTAGTTTCTGTTGTAATGACCTCCTTTTCATTTCTG